TTAAGATTTTATCTGTTAGCGAGTGAGAGCAGGAACTAGGGGAGGGGCAGAGGAAGAGGGAGAAGCAGACTCCCTGCTGAGCAGGGAGCCCAACGTGGGGTGTCATCCTGGGACTCCAGGATCATGACCTGAGCTAAAGGCAGACACTTAGCTGACTGAGCCACCCAGGCATCCCAGAGAGAGAGATTCTTAAGCAGGCTCCACGCTCAGCGCAGAGCCCTGACCTGGGCCTCAATCTCACGACCCTGAGATCATGACTTGAGTTGAAAGCAAGAATCAGACACTTAACCAACTGAGCCACCAAGGCACCCCTTGGCTTTGACGTCCTAAATGGTGTCACTGGGCACAATCTATAGGGTCAGAGTGAGGGTCAGAGTCTTTGCAAAAATCTGCATCTGTGCATCTGCTGCTTGGCCAACTCGTTGAAGAGAAAGAGCAAAGCTGGCTCTTTGTTTGGGGCTAATGCGGCTGGTGACTTTAAGTTGAAGCCAGTGTTCCTTGACCATTCTGAAAATCCTAAGACCCTTAAGAATTGTGCTAAATCTACTCTGCCTGTGCTCTATAAATGGAACAACAAAGCCTGGATGATAGCACATCTGGTTACAACATGATTTACTGAAAATTTTAAGCCCACTGTTGAGACCTAATGCTCAGAAAAAAGATTCCTTTCAAAATGTTACCACTCATTGACAATGTACTTGGTCACCCAAGAGCTCTGATAGAGATGGACAAGATTAATGTTTTCATGCCTGCTAACGCAACATCTGTTCTTCAATCCATGAACCAAGGAGTAATTTCAATTTTCTAGTCTTATTATTTAAGAAATCTATTTCACAAAGCTATAGCTGCCATAGATAGTGATTACTCGGATGGATCTGGGCAAAGGAAATTGAAAACCTTTGGAAAGGATTCACCATTCTAGATGCCTTTAAGAACATTTGTGATTCATGGTAAGAGGCCAAAACATCAACACTCACAGGAATTTTGAAGAAAGGGATTTCAACCCTCATTGATGCCCTTGAGGGCTTCAAGACTTCAGTGGAGGATGTACTTGCTGATATAGTGGAAATCGTAAGAGAACTAGAAATAGAAGAGCTTGAAGATGTGACTGAATTGGTACAATCTCATGATAAAACCTGAATGAATGAGGAGTTGCTTTTTATGGATGAGCAAAGAAAGTGGTTTCTTAACCTACTCCTGGTGAAGATGCTGAAATACAACAGGGCATTTAGAATATTATGTAGGCTTAGTTGATAAAGCAGCAGCAGAGTTTGAGAGGATTGACTCCCATTTTGAAGGAAGTTCTCCTGTGGATAAAATGCTGTCCAAACAGCATCACATGCTACAGAGAAATCGCTCATGAAGGGGAGAGACAATCAATGTGGCAAACTTCATTGTTGTCTTGTTTTAAGAAACTGCCACAACTACCCTAACCTTCAGCAACCACCACCCTGATAAGTCAGCAGCCATCAACACCAAGGCAAGACCCTCCACCAGCAAAAAGATTATGACTCACTGAGAACTCAGATGATGGTTAGCATTTTTTCACAAAAAAGTATTTTTAAATTATGTACGTTTTTTTAAGACATAATGCTACTACACACTTAATAGACTATAACTTGTATATGCAATGGGAAACAAAAAATTATTTGACTGGCTTTATTGTACTATTCACTTTATTGTGGTGGTCTGGAAGTGAACCCACAGTATTTCCTAGGTATTGCCGTATAGTCTTTCTTCTGTAACAGTATCTGAGTGCAATTTCAAGTATTTTCAAAAGAATTCACACCAAATTATTAACATGATTGTCCCTGGAGAGTGAGATTATTTTAAGGGTGGGGGAGTATAAGTGAAGAGATCTTTTCACTTTATACACATTGATGTTTTTTAAAAATAAAATATGTATCATATTGAAATTTTAAAGTATCAAAATATTCCTAGTAGAATTTTATATCTAAAAATATGTTCATGTTAAGAGTTTTATAAATTTTGCAACAGGCTGGGTAAATAATGCATCTTCAGGGGCGCCTGGGTGGCTCAGCCGTTAAGCGTCTGCCTTTGGCTCAGGTCATGATCCTAGGGTCCTGGGATCGAGCCCCGCATCAGGCTCCCTGCTCCGCGGGAAGCCTGCTTGTCCCTCTCCCACTGCCCCTGCTTGTGTTCCCTCTCTCGCTGTGTCTCTCTCTGTCAAATAAATAAAAGAAATCTTTTAAAAAAATAAAAATAAATAATGCATCTTCACTGTTGGCTGGTAGAGCTGTAAAATGATAGAATTGTGGTCAGGACAGAGTGGGGACAAAGAGAAAGCTGAACATTAAATAAAAAGGTTTTATTTATATAAAAATTGGTCTTTCATAAGCTAATTCAGTATATTTGATCGGTTAATTTCAGTGGTACCCTATTAAATGACTTTCTGGCATCTCAGCTTTTAATATTACTTCCAAAACTCAGGTAGAGCAGAAAATGATGACACAGACATTTCAAGAACAAAACTTACTCCTGGATGCAGCCCATGCCAATATCGCTACTGAGCTACAGACTGTTCAGAATGAGAAAATCCAACTCCAAGCACATCTGTAAGTAAATTATAGGCAACTTCTTCTGTATCTTTTGTTCTTGCATTTGATTTCTTATCTTTAATGGAAACGTTTCATTCTGCTTTTCTTGGGCCAGACACAAAGATAAAATAAAGGCTTTGCCCCCAAGGAACTAGTCTTGTTAGAACATTTTGGTAACTGCTCTCGGCCAGTATGTTCTTGGAGAACATGAGTCTATTAAAGAACTCTTGTTTAACGGTCATATCTCCTCGTTGTCTTCTTCCAGGGACCATGTAATCCTTGAGCATAATCAGTGTATCCAGAAAGCACAGGATGCTGAGAAGAGGACAGCCTTGCAGAAAGAGCTGCTAGAAACAACTATTGCAAGATTGCGAGGTGAATTGGAAGCATCCATCCAAGAGAAGAAGTCTCTGCTAGAGGAGAAAGAAAGATTTCAGGGAGAGGTAGGTAGAAGCAGATTTATGTTACCTCCTGGTTGTGGCGGTGATCTTGTGTTAAAACTATTTTAAGTGCAAAAGATAAGAAATAGAGCCCAGATGCAGTTTGTCTGAGTTGCCCATTAAAGAAATCTTTAGGTGGCTAATCTCTGTCTTTTAGCATGTGAAGTAGACTGTGCCAAACAGAGTACCCTTTTATAGCATTAACTAATAGCTCACACATCCTCATGATAGCTAAGGGGTCAGATTTAAAAAGCTGATTTCCCCTGAAGGCGTGGGACAATGGAGGTTAAGGGGGGGACAGCTCTGTCTTCCTCTTTAGGACGGAAGCAGCGGAGTCTGACATGCAGACGTGTCTTTCTAATTTCAGGGCTATTTGTGAAGTCTGCTCTGCCTCAGAGACTCCCTGAGTGGCCCCCTTTCTGAGAGGATGTGCTATCTCTGCAGTGTAGGTATTAACTAACGTGCAGGGTGTGTCTGCTACTGTAGAGCAGTTGCTTTAAAATTCACCCATTTCTTTTCCCCTCCTTGGGCAGGTGAATAAAACAGAGAAAGAAACAGCGCAAGAAAAATGCAATTTGGAAAAGGAATTAGCTAAAAACAAGGTATTCCACATTTTCTTCGTTGATATTTCACTGTATTCCCTTCTGTATTTCTGCCTCCAGTATCAGCTTATCTTACTGAGGAGATGGGTTATTTTGTCTAATACCAGGCTGTGGGAGGATAAAGGAGCCACTGAGGTGGGTGCAGCACCGAGCACTCCGGTCACGGCAGCACAGGGCTGCTTCTGGGCAGCGTTTGCTTGTTGAGCATCTGGTGTGGGCCAGAGTCATGACTGGCTCTGGCCCTGGTGTTCACTGAGTATTTTAGCCAGGAAATCCATTGCGAGTGAGCTGATGGCCCTGTGGGAGGCAAAGAGATCATTGCTGACAGTGCTGTTTTGTTTTATTTTGTTTTAAAGACTTCCTAAGTACCTGTTAGCACCTGTCACTTCATCTGCAATATACTCTTTTCTGGGTTCTAAAAAGATAGAATGGCCAGAGACACAAATACAATTCTTATTAAAATAAAACAAAAGCCAGTCTTTAAAACATTGCTGTTTGTGTTTTAAATTTTGAAGAGCGTAAAGATTATGTATCACTGTCATCTGGAATTATCTGGAGTGTCAAGGAGAATTAGCCTACCCCAGACAGTAAATTCTGCAACACATGTCAATATAACAGTCAATCCTTGATTTCTTCTTGGCTTCTGGCCTAATTAAATAGTATTCATATTACCATCACCATATTACCATGTATGTGTGAACTTGTAATTTAAGAATTGGAGAGAGAAGAAAAGATAAATTCTGAGCCCAAGCTCTAATACAGCTCACCACTCTGGCAGGTAATCTGTGGTTTATTGACTAAACTCTAGTGATTTGAAAAATAGTCCAACCTAAGAATCTTTTTAAAAAGTTCACTTCCCATGGTAAGGACTTACTGGTGTCAGTTTGTCCTCCAATATGCTTTTTAAAATTTGGAAAATTGGTGGATACTATTAAATTCATGAATGCTTTTTGCTTAAAATGTAGGGAATGTTACATGGCTAAGGCAAATGCTGTATGTCTGTGATTAAAACAGTTTGCTTTTCTGATTTTATTTGTCTGAACGTAGGCTAAGTGTAAGTTCATGGGGCTGAAAGATACTGGCTCATTAGAGAGGTTCTATTAGGCCAAATGATAATGCTTATACAGAGTCCCATTTTTTTCTTCTTAGGTCTAATTTGATACTTTTCAAATGTGTATTCATTATAAAGCTATGTTTTTCTAAGTCAGGCTTATTAAGTTATAATATACATAGTGAAATACACCCTTTTTTTAGTGTACAGTTCTGTGAGTTTTGACCAACACAATTATGTAACCACCACCACAATCAAAATACAGAACACTTCTATCCCCTCAGGAAGGTCCCTTGTGCCTCTTTATCATTAACCTCTTCCTCCGCCTCCATCCCTTGGCAACCACTGACCTGTTCTTCTGTTCCTATAGTTACGTCTTTCCAGAATATCCCAGAAATGGAATCATACAACATGCAACATTTTAAGTCTGGCTTCTTTTATTTAGCATAAGGCATTTGAAGTTCATCCAAGTTCTTGTTGTATCAGTTGTTTGTGTTCCATTATATAGTTATACCACAATTTCTTTATCTATTTGCCACCTGAAGGACATTTGAGTTGGTAAATTTTGGCAATTATGAATAAAGCCTATATAAATGTTCACATATGAACATGTATTTTTATTTCTTTTGGCTAATTATCAGGAGTTGGAATTCTAGATCCTATGGGAAATAAATATTTAACATAGTAAACTATTCAGCAGCTGTTTTCCAAAGAATCTGTACTATCTTGCCTTCCATCAATAGTATAAAAGAGCTCCACTTTCTCTGCATTCTCACCAGTGCTTAGTATTGTTGGTCCTTTTGGTCTTAGCCATTCTAACTGGTGTAGACTGGCATATCATTGTGGCTATAATTTGCATTTATCTAGTGATTAATAATATTGAGCATCTTTTCATCTGTTTATTGGTTATCCACAAGTTTAAGTGTCTCTTCAAATATTTTAACCATTTTAATTCAGTTGTTTGTTTTCTTATTATTGATTTTTCAGAGATTTTAAAATAGTCTCATGTTGATTCTTACATAAAAAATTCATACTTTTTGTATATGTGCAAATCTTCTAAGTGCTTAACATATTTTTTCTTCCATTTTACGCCTTGTTTTTAATGTTCTTTCAAAGAGCAGAAGTTTCACATTTTGATGAAATCCAACTTGTCAGTTTTTAAATTTTTGGATCATACCCTTTGTGTCTTATCTGAGAAATTTTTGCCTAACCTAAAATCACAAAGATTTTCCTTTTAGTTCTCTAGAACTTTTATAGTTTTAGGTCTTACATAGGTCAACGATCCATTTTTAGTTAATTTTCGTATATCATGCAAGGTTCATTTTATTTTTAGATGGATAGTCTGATCTAGTACCTTTTATTATTGAGATATAATTAATATACTGTCAATTCACCTTCTTAAAATATACAATTCAATGGTTTCTTAGTTTATTCACAAGTCTGTGCAAACGTCACCACTATCTAATTCTAGAACCTTTTTATCACCAAGAAGAAACCCGGTACCCATTAACAGTCACTCCCCATTCTGTTCTGCCCCCAGCCCCCGGCAACCACTGTTCTACTTTCTGTCTCCATGGGTGTGTCTATTCCCACATTTCATATAAATAGAATAAAACAGTATGTGGCCTTTTGTCTCTGGCCTCTTTGCTAGGTTAATGTTTTCAAGGTTTATCCATACTGTAATATATGTCAGTATCTTATTCCTTTTTATGGTTGAATGATATTGTATTATGTGACTGTACCACACTTCATTTAGCCATTCATCAATTGGTAGACATTCAGGTTGTTCCCACTATTTGGCTGTTTAATAATGCTATGAACATGTGTATACATTTTTTTTGTATGTGAGCATATGTTTTCGATTCTGTAGGAGTAAAACTGGGTCATAGGATAACTCTTTATCATTTTGAGAAACTACCAAAGTGTTTTTACAAAGTAGCTGCACCATTTTACAGTCCCACCAGCAGTGTATGAGGATTCAAATATCTGCACATCTTCACCTACATCTGTTACTGTCTGCTTTTTAAAAAATTAATATACTCATCCAAGTGGGTATGAAGTATCTCATTTTGTTTTTTCAATTAAGGTGAAATTCACATAATAGAAAATCAAGCACTTTAAAGTGAACAATTCAGTAGCATTTTATATATTTACAGTGTTGTATAACCACCAACTCTTCTAGTTCCAAAACCTTTTTATCATCCCAAAGGGAAACCCTGTTCCCATTAAGCAATCACTCCCTATTCCCTTCTTCCCCTGACCTCTGACAGCCACTTATCTGCATTCATCTGTGTAGATTTACCTATTCTGGATATTTCATATAATCATACAATATGTGATCTTTTGTGTCTGACTTCTTAGCATAACATTTTTGAGGTTCATCCATGTTGTTCTTCATAGCAGAACTTCATTCCCTTTTACTCCTTTTATGGATGAGTAAGAATTCACTGTGTATGTGTCTTTGTATGTGGTATGTATGTATATACACACACACCACAGTTTGTCTTGTTCATCTTTTCATCTATTGATAGACATTTGCATTGTTTGCACCTTTCAGCTGTTGTGATTAGTGTTGCTGTAAATGTGTGTGTTATACATGTATTTACTTGAGATACATATCTAGGAGTGGAATTGCTGGGTCATATGGTAATTTTGTTTAACTTTATGAGGAATCACCAGAC